TTCCCAGTCCCATGACAATTTAGCTCTCCACATCAGAAGAATATGACCTGCAGGCTGGATAAGCGGTTTTCTGGGAAATTTAAACTTAAGATATGGTGTAATAGGCATACATAAATAACCCACAAGTGCTTAAAAGTCAAAATCCTAAACATCTTCCCAACGAAAACCCCAGACATGTCCATTTTCTCCAGGGCAGCATAAAACCACATCCCCAGCTTCTCTGGGAAACTGAATGGAAAATACAAACATGTGTGAACTGACAGAGATCCTTTAGCTGCTTCCAGCGATTACCAGAGAAAATCAGTTTCACTGAAAACTGCTCACTTGCCAAAAAGAAGTTTCTCTTGCCTGACCTAGGCTTCATTAGGGAAGTTTGAGGGTTTTTTTCCCCCGTCACCAGACTGTCCCCTACGGCAGCAGTGCAAACATCAGCACTGCTAACAGCCTCTGAGGCCTTCCATTGAACAGCACTTAGCAGGCACAGCAGGACTGGAACTGTGGTGACTCAGGAACAGCCACAAATGCTCCAGAGAAAAAGTGCCATGAGCAATACTGTGTAAAATGCATGTACACAGAAACCGGGGTTAGTATCATGTAGGGCTGGGGAGGAACATGGCACTGCCAGCCAAACAGGACTTGCTCCGTCTGGCAATCAGACCGGTAAAGCAAATTCAAATCCATAAACTGAAGTCTTAACGAAAAGTAAGTTCTTTTTTCACCTGGTATTCTAATAAGCAACTGCAGAACCAGGAAAAAAAAAACAGTTTTTTCCTAAGGTTTGGATGCATGAGGAAAATGGGGTATGAAGAAGAAGGGAAAATAACTTAGAAGAGACAGAAAAGGAGACAAGCTTCTTTGTTGCTGATTATATGCTCCACCTCCCCATTTATCCAGTATATAAAGCTCTGCAACTGCTGTCTGTAGCAGCAGAGAGACTTTTCCAATTATTAATAAATGAACGTGAGCGGTAGAAGGCATGCCAGGGAAAAGAGAACAGCCCTACACTGCGCAACCTCTCTTGCCCTGAACTTGCCATCCACTGCCTCCGGCCCTCCTTCTGCCCCCTCCCCATTCTTGGTTTGCTCCCTTCCTTCCGTCCTTCCTCCCATATTCCCGGCTGCCACCTTCCTGCCATTTCAGAGCTGCCTTTCCCTGGCCACCGCCTCAGCCTCAGCTGCTTTCAGACACCCACCACATCGCTCTGCATATGAGCCGTCACATTTTCCAGCCTCTGCAGCAGAGCTTATTTTGAGGAGAGGTGGTTTTGACAGTTCTGTCCTCCAGTTCACAGGCAGAGCAGAGGGCAGGCTATGTCAGTGCAGGGGGAGAAGAGGAGGCTCCTCCTGCACTGCAGCTCAACACACGTGCAGGGCTCGTGGCTACGCACTCAGAAGGGACTGGAGGCCTGTGGGGGACATGAAGCTCCCATGGGGTAGGGGAGTTAAGGAGCAGTTAAGTCTCCCCACTTCTGAGGGCTGCTCTTTCCCAACCCAAGGCCCGCTGCTAGCAATGCTGCTACAGGACACACGCTGCCGAGACAACAGCCGAGCCAGCCTGCGGAGAACAGGCACAGCAAAGCCCCTCTCCACCCTCTCACACCAAGTCCCTCACCCGGCCGCGTCCCTATCACCCCAGGCAGTCTCTTACAGAGCCCATGCTCCCTGCCAAGTACCACAATCAGCATCCAGATGTCATCTGAAGATCTGGCCTAAAGGCCCTGAAGAGGGAAATTGTAACAGGATTTTGACTTACCAGTCCAGCCCCAGCCACTCTGTGCACTTTGACTGCAGCTGGTCAGCGTATAATGTGAAATTTGTGGGGCCAGAAGGTACGGTGGATAATGGATGGCAGCGGCAGCAGCAGACAAACACTGACATGGTGGAAACAAACCCCAGGGGTGAGAGGAGCCAGTAACGCAGGAGGAGGGAGAATGAGTGGGAGGTTTCCCAAGGGACCAGAATAGCAGAGACTGATGAGAAGAGCAGCTGCAGAGGGTGGCTCTGGAAATTAAGAGTTGAAATAAGCTGGTTAAAAGAAGCAAGGAAAGATGGCAGCTGGGGAGACAGAGACAGGAGCACCCTGGGATGGAGTGGCTGGAGGTGTCAGCAGGAACAGATGGGGAGGATCCAGAAATGGCCGAGAGGGCGGCCGGGTTGGTGGTGCGGAGCAGGCTCCGACAGGCAGCCTGGGAATGGCCACAGGGAGAGGATTTCATAGAGCGAAAGCAGTCCGGACGTCACGGGAAGGAAGATGCATTACAAAGTATTAAAACACGGGCTTGTGTGCTAAGGGCACAGGAGATTGGCAACCGGGAAGGGCAAGGTGTGAGGACTGGTGATGAATTACCACTGGAAGCAGCAAGGGCGGTCCTGCAGGACCCACAGCAACAAAGGCAAAGAGCCAAGAGGTCTCACCGGGAAGCCGAAGCGAGTATGGACAAGGAGGTAAAGCAAGGACAGGCAGAGGGGGAAGTCAGAGCAGGAAAAGAACACAACAGAACAGGCCACCCAAAGAGGGAGCCGGTATTACAAGTAAGCCCGTCATTATTTTCTCACCATAGTGGGGTCCGGCAATACCTGCCAGTGTTGGGTTGCATTCTACTTCACGTTGCATAACCTGAGAGAGATTGTGGCCAAAACTCCAAAGTATTTACAACAGCCTCGCTCAGTGCCCCCTGAAAGCTACCCCTTCGACAAATCTAAAAGGCGCATGATCCAGCTCAAGCATTGCTATACTAATTTCTTCATCTCTACATTGTATGTGAAAATTATTCTGTGTTTTCTCCAAAGAACAGTTTATCCTGCCTAGAAAATTACTGCAGAATCACCATAACTTCCAGAAATTGTCCAGCACATACCTCCAACATCTTGCCATAGCAAGCAAACTAAAAATGGCAACAGAATTTCATGTTATAGACCTCCAGTTCATGCTGGCAACTGGATTTTTAACACTAAAGTTCTCATTGCATCAGTAAAAATTTTGTGTATGTGCATTACATACATGTAAGGGTGGAAAAAAGTGACAAAGATCTGCCTAATTTTCTGCCGACATACGGGCAGAAGCTATTAGTTTTGTGAGTGAATTTATCACGTAGGGTTAAACTGTAACACTGGTGCAACTTTTACAGGTTTTGTTTTAGGGGCAGTAATATTATTCAAAAGATATTTCAAAACGTTTTAAATAAAAGCAATTGTAATCACAAAAAACGACAAACCTGCCACAAACAGAAAACACAGAATTTCACCAAGAACTACGGCGCATTAGAACCACAGCCCTTTTTTTCAGCCAGAGCAGATGCAGACAGATGCACTCACGAGCCAAGAAGCCTTTCCCCAGCCGTGCCTCGCGTGACGGTAGCACCTTTTGGCAAAGAAGAGCGTGTTCCGGGAGTCAAGCAACCATTTCATCAACATATTTTCCTGTTGATTTTAGTGGGAAACAGAGAGTAAACACACTTTCTCCTGTTAAGACACCCAGATATGTGGGATCCAGTGGAGGAATTTGTAAACAACTGTTTGCTACTACTAGTGAAAAGGATTTGGATCATCCCAAAGTGAATTCTCTTTTGGGAATTCCCTCTAGATAAGGCAGTCAAGCCCATCAGTTTTCCTGCAGGCGCAGCAGGGATCTCATAAAATCTGGCCAAAAGGCGGGGAGATACTCAGATTACATAGCAGAAACAGAAGATGGGAGATGCAGATTTCCCTCTGTCAAGCAGCACGTTTTCTCAGACGCGAGAGTCGTGGAAGCTGTCTGAGTGAGGGGAGGGGGGTCCCACCACTGGCAGGGCGGTGCAGGGGGGCACAGCAGGAGAGCGCATCCCACCAGACATGTACAGGGTACTGGTGTGAAGAACAGGAATTCCAGCTGTATCAGTGGAAATGTTGTAATTAAAGCAATACCAAAAAAACCCAGTGTCTTTCTGAGAATAAAATTAACACTCTTCTGTCAATACACAAGTCTTTGAACTAATAAAGAATTGTTTAAATTATATTTTACTCTGTGCTCACATTTTGCAATTGTTATATCCTCATTCTTCCTTCAGGCTGAAGATTTGCTATTCCTCTAGCTTTTTTTTTTTTTTTCACTTTCAGACATAATTAAACATTCTGGGAGGTTTCCAGACAAGTTACAGGAGGACATAACCCGCTGTCAGACCCTTCTGTCAATTGGGATCTGCTGACAAGGGGAAGAATAATTATGCAGAATGAAAGGATACTGGACCATGACACTATTGAAAAGGGGAAAGACTGGAAGATGTATCTTAGAAGAAGAAAAAAAAAAAAAAAGAGAAAACTTGAACTGAGCACATGAGGCTGGACTGCCTAGGGGGAGGAGGGGAGACCTCGTAAGTGAAGCTGAATAAATAGGAGAAATGGAACTGAACCGTAACAAAGCACCAACAGTATTTCTAGAGCAGAGCAGCACTGCAACGGCTGCAGCCTGGCGCGGGACCCTGCTTCTCAGGTGTGGGCACACACAGCCACCTCTTCTGCTTTTATTGGAACTGACAGGAAAAAGAACCCGCCTTCGGCTCTGCATCGACCAGAATACACCGAACAGCTCTCGCCCTTCCGGAGCGCCGCAGACTGCAGCGGAACGCAACTAGCCGTGACCCAGCTAATTGGCAGCCGTTACCCACGGGGACATCCCGTACGCGTGGCACACCCCCACCCCCTTCTCCCCTCACAGTGCAGACGCGGCTGCGTGGACCTCCGCCCTGCGTGGGGCCGGGGGGGGGGTGGTGGTGGGGGGGGGGGGGGAGAGGGGGTGGGTGCCGCCAGGACAACACCCACGCGTCCCCAGCCACGGCGGAAAGGCCTGAAGAGGCGGGAGCGGCCGGGCCGCCCACCCCCCCCCCCACCCCGCCCGCGGCCCCGCTTCACCCCGGCCCGGCGGGGAGCGGGCGGATGGGCGGGGGCCGCCCCCCCCCCGCTGACCTCATGCGCTGAGGATCGCGGCCGCCCCCGCCCCTCCCGCCCGGAGCCCGAGGCGGGGGGGGGGGGGGGGGACGGGGGGGGGCGGCACTGACTCAGCCGGCGGCGGGGACTTACCGCGCGCACGCCGCGCTGACACACTGGCCACGCCGCGGGGCAGCCGCCGATCACGCGCGGGCGCTGGGCGCTCATTGGCCGCCGACTCACACACCTTTGCCGGCGATTGGCGGCGGGCGGGGGGGAGCCCCGCCCTCCTCCACTCACCCACCCCCCCCCCCCCCCCCACGCGCGCGCGAGGGGCCGGAGGAGCCGCCACCTGAATGGGGAGCGGCGAACAAAAAGAGGGAAATAAAGGCAGCGGGCGGAGAGCGGCGGCGGCGCGGGCTTCGGTCAGCCTCAGCTCCCCGTCACCGGTGAGTGACCGGCCCCGCCATGAGGGGGGCGGAACGCGACCAGGGCACCCCCAGGCGTGTGTGGGGAATGGGGTGTCCCGAGGCGGGGAGGGAGTCCCCGGGGATAGCACGACAGGGGGACCCCGGGCGGCGGAGGGAGCGGGGCTGCTGTGATGGTGGGCAGCGGGGCGAGGGGAAGGAGTCGCGCGCGCGCGTGTGCGTCCCCACGGGAGAGCCTGCGGGGCGGGCGAGGAAAGCGGCGAGAGGGAGCGGAGTCGCCGGGAACCTGTTGGCACCGCCGGGCCGGCGACCTGCAGCCCCGCGTGGGTGCGCGCCCGGCTCCGGGGCTGCATGTGCCAGGGGGCGGCGGGGAGGAGGGAGCCGGGGAGGGGGGATCCCGGCGCAGCGGGGTCAGGCGAGGCCCTCCGCCGCCGCCGCCGCCGGGAGGAGATGGGCGGGCGCTGTGGGGAAGAGCCAGCCGCAGCCTCCCTCCCCGGCAGAGCCGAGCCGTGGGCTCGCTCCCCGCGGGGACGCCGCTTCCCTTCCCCCGCGGCGGGAGGCGCCGGGCGTGGCGGCTCTGCCCGCTGTGAGGCGAGGCGAGGCGAGGCGGCTGCCCCGGCCGGGCTTCCCCCCGCCCGCACGGCCGCGGTGCCGGGGGGGTGCGGGGGGGCGGGCGGGCTCCCTTCCTGCCGCCGGGCTGAGGGCGGAGGCGGCCGCGTGGGGAACTGGGGGAAAGGTCGGCGCGCGGCGGTAACTGATCACGCCTTTGTTCGCCTGTCCCCGCCCCCGGGCCGCGCCCCTGAGCGGCGCCGGCCAATGGGCGCCGGCGCGGGGCGGTGCGGAGAGCCAATAGGAGAGGGCGGGGGCGGGACGCGGCGGGGTGCGCTGAGGTGAGGGCGGGGCGCGCCCCCTCAGGCCGCCGCCGTGACGGCCGCCGCCCCCTCCCCTCCCGCCCCCCCCCCCCCGCCGCGCCGGGCTCCTTCTACAGGTGCTTCCGAGCCGTGGGCTCCGGCTGCCTGAAACGCGGCTTTGCCGCCCTCAGCGGGGGGGGCGGGGGTGGAATTCGCCAACAGCGGCGGGCGCCATCCTTCAAAAATCGGCAGCGGTGTTAGGGATAATGGTGGAACATGCAGCTTAGGAAGCTTTCTGCGTGGGTTGGTTCCGTGTGCTGATCGGTCAGATAGTGCATATACACACATACAGTTCGGTTCTCCCAAGTTGATGTTCCTTGCGTGTATGTGTGCGTGAGACAGACCTTTTGAATGTTTTCCAGAACATTTTTGGTAGCTAATACCTTTTGAAGAAGATGTGTTTCAGTCCTAACACGGTCTTTACTCATGTGTCAAAATAAGCATGATATTGAGGGCTGTGTTTAAAGCTAAAATGGAAAGAGAATGGGAGGGGGGGAGGAAGTTTTATTTTTTGGGGGTGAAGATTTTTCTTAGGCTTTCAGACACAGCACTTGCGATATGGAGTAACTTCCATATTTGCTTAAGATTTGGGGAGAGTTCTTTTGTCTCAAGAAAATATATAATCTTCACCGGAAGGCTAGATTTCCCTACAAACAACTTCATAAAAATTTTATAGAAATAAGAAAGAGGGCAGGAAAATGCAGGCATACCCACCACATTACCAAGCATATTTATCTTGCACAGGTTGCCTTCTTATAAGTAACAGCAAAATATAAAACTTCGCATCAAATTTAAAGTTCCCTTTTTTCCCCAAACTGAACCAGGAAGAAGAAATGGAAATGATGAGTGAGAAACAGAGAGACACTAGGTATTTCTGGAACAATACTCCTGAAAAAAGCGATTATGAGGCTGTAGAAGCCCTTATTTCTATGAGTTGCAACTGGAAATCAGACTTCAAAAAACATGCAGAAATGAGACCTATAACTCCAGCATCTGATATGTCAGAAGAGAGTGATGAGACTTTGCTTCCTGGAGCAGCAGACTTTAATGCGATACCAGCATTTGTAAGTTTTTTTTTAATTTGTACATGTGCATGCTCAGTTTTAACCGCTGGTGCGGCGGTGTGTTGGTAACACCCCCCCCCTTACTGTGTCTCTCTCCCCGTACAGTGCCTGACCCCCCCCTACAGCCCTTCTGACTTCGAGATGTCGCAGATGGTCCATCCGGGGCCACCGGCACTCGGCAAGTCTCTGGCCGAGGCCGCCAAGCCTGCTCTGGCCGCACCTGGGAGAGAGGCGGAGAGGCCTCTGAAAGCTCAAGCCACGAGTGTGATCCGCCACACGGCCGATGCCCAGCTCTGTAACCGCAAAACCTGCCCGGTGAGAACAGCCAGCGTGCTGAAATACCAGGACAGCGTTTTGAGGGAAACAAGCAGTAAACAAAGCGCTGAAGCAGAACATTCGGTGCGTTCCGCCGTGGCGCCCAGCGGAGCCGGTGATGAGAGCGGTGAACTGCCGGCGGTGGAAGGGAAGAACGCAGAACCCGCGGTGGGTCCGGTGGCTGTGGCAAAGCCCTCGGCTGGCGGGCATCGGCCCGCCCCTGGAGCGGCGGTGGCGGCACTGCCGTGCCCTGCCCAAGGCAGCGGAGCCCCCCCCGTGCCAGTGATTTGCCAGATGGTCCCGCTGCCCGCAAACAACAACGTCATGACGGCCGTAGTGCCCAACACCCCGCGGAGCCAGCAGCCGGCTCTCTGCCAGCCCATGGTCTTCATGGGCACCCAGGTTCCCAAAGGCGCCGTTATGTTTGTCGTGCCCCAGCCAGTTGTGCAGAGCACAAAGGCTCCCATTATTAGTCCAAACGGCACGAGACTCTCCCCCATTGCCCCTGCTCCTGGCTTCGTACCTTCCGCAGCAAAAACTACTCCCCCGGTTGATTCTTCAAGAATAAGAAGTCACATTTGCAGCTACCCAGGATGTGGGAAGACGTACTTCAAGAGCTCCCACTTGAAGGCTCACGTCAGAACACACACAGGTTGGTCACTGTTGCTGGATGTTAAAAATTAATGTAGACAATTGCAGCTACGTAACACAACCTGTTAAGGTTCTAGCAGTTACCGGATTTGTTCATGGAACAAATTGCAGGGTAGCAATGAAATACCTTTTTTGCCAGCGTGTGCTATAATGCCGCCTAATCTCTGACAGGAAATCTCCCAGAGGGGAAGTTGACTCAGCGGTTTGTTTGTGCTGGACTTGCCTCGTGTCAGAAGGCATTCGGTAATGCTTCTTACGAGTGTGGAAGCAAGGCCTTGCCCAATGTAGAGTATGCTTTTCCAGAGTTAAAGACGCCTTATTAGGCTTCTCCACAAGAACGCCTTTGTCAGAAGCGGGTAAACCTTAAAGAGATTATTTTATGAAAGGATATAAGGATCCACTCCAAACTATTCCTGCCTCGGTTATTTTAGAGTAGCTTCTCCACGCCTCAGCTCTTAATCGCAGTAGCAGGGAGAGTCGTGTATATTTTCACGTAGGCTCACGGTGCGCTACCAGAGCTCTGTTACATAAAACAGGTTGCGTTTCAGAGGGTAGTTTCGGGCATGCTAAATTGCCATCATCTGTGGTTCGTGTGGAGCTGAGAGTTCAAATTGGCTGTCTTGAGACATAAAGAGCATCTTAGATTATTTGGTTCCTGAAAATTATTAACCCTTTGTACTACTTAGCCTCCATGAGAGTGTGTCTGCATGTTTAAATAGTGATATAGAAACATTTTTTTCACATTTCATATGTATAAAAATAATAAATATTTACGTAGGCTTTGCCTCAACTTTCCTTTAAAAAAGTCAGATCCTGCCGGTCAAGGCAGTGGTGTTTGTTGCTCAGTCAGTACTCATGGGTTTTTTTTTTCTTTGTCACTTTTTCCCTTCCAGGAGAAAAGCCGTTCAGTTGTAGTTGGAAAGGCTGTGAGAGAAGGTTTGCACGGTCTGACGAACTGTCTCGCCATCGCAGAACACATACTGGGGAGAAGAAGTTCGCCTGCCCGATGTGTGAGCGGCGGTTCATGAGGAGCGACCACTTAACGAAGCACGCGCGTCGCCACTTGTCGGCGAAGAAGTTACCGAACTGGCAGATGGAAGTGAGCAAGTTAAACGATGTTGCCGTGCCGCCACCATCCGCTGCCGCGCAGTGAAGGGACTCGCTCTGGAGACGGCGGAATTAACTGTTGCCTCTGGGATACGCTGGCTGAAAAAAAGGCTTTTGCTCCCGGCCTGCGGTTCTCCCGCACCGGCTGCTGACGGCAGAGCAGCAGAGAGACAAAGGCGGTCTGGGCCCCATCACAAAAAATGTTGCTGGGAGAACCGGCGGCTGACTGGGAGAGCGGGTGTCTTTTGTGCTGGTAAGGAAAGAGAGAAAGAGAAGGTTCTAGAGTAGAGCAGCACACAGTTTTGAATTTTGCAAATTATTCGTATAACACTCTAGATCAGCCCCGTGCAAGTGTTTCTGAGGCTGATGCTTGAGACCAGCTCTGGTTCTGACTCCCAGCTGTCAGCCTTCAGTACCGCACAGGCTAGCCAGGCGCAGGCTTGGACGCCCGCAGCGCACCTGCGCAACATAATCTAAATCAGTTTTCCTACTTCTGCCACCTTTTCTTGGTAGGAAGCTTTTCCTCCTGTTCATTCTCCGGCCCCGTCATAAGCGATGATTCGGTGCCAGACTCCTGGAGGTTTCAGACCAGTCCCAGCTGTGTCCTGCTGCCCAGAGGGGCCGGGGCTGGGCCGGCGGGTGGGATCCTTCTGAATCCTCATTAGCTTTGTAATATTTTCCCAGCTTCTTTGGCAAGCCTTGTGCTTATTACAATTGGTTATACCTGGGCACCGTACCATGCTCCTGCCTTTGTGTTGCTTACGGTTTGCTTTATACCTTCTCGCCACGGTGTACCGCTGCGTTTTTCATAAACCGAGTGCACTTTTAAGGAAAACATTGTAACTGTAAACTGCTCGGGTTGATTAAGGAGGAAACCCTGGAATCCGAGGCTTCTTGATCATGTTATTCTTTGAAAGATGGTTTATACTTCAAATTAAATGGATATATTATGTATCGTGATTCAAAAAGTAAAACGAAGCAGTAAAGACACCGGCCTAGAATTTAAACTGTAGCTTTTGTGACAAATAATGCATCGACTTCCACTATTTCTATTTTATCATATTATGTTGAGGACACATATCAGAAAGTGAACAGTTTGAAAATAGTGTATTAGATATGCTTTTTGTGACTACTTTAAAAATTTGCACATTTCTTATGTTGTACTTTATACTTTGTTTACAATAAAACCAATTTTCTTTAATACAGACCTCTTTTTTTTTTTTAATTCATAGCAGAATTTATGCCTTTGCGAGGAAGATAACCTCAAAATGAAACGTAGTGTCCATCATTGTGTCCTGACCAATGCAGCACTCTCTCTTAACTTTTAATATTTTTTTTTTAAGTTCTGTAAAGCCCACAGGAGTGGAATTTCAAGTCTGCACTTACTACTCTTGAGTCTCTGTTTTGTTCTGGGTTGTTTGTTTGGTTGTGTGTGTGTGTTTTTTTTTTTTTTCTTCCCACTCTCCATCCCCCCTCCTTTTTCTTCAGGCACCCACAACTAAATGCGCTTACATGGGTCGTTACAACACTGGTGAGAAACACCCCCTTTTTGGTGGCAACGGGGTCGCGCTGCCTTCCCCAGGACGGCCGAGGGCCTGCCCGGCGGGTGGAGGGGTGGCTGCCCGCCCCCCCGCGCCGTGGGACCCGCCCACCCCCCCGCGCGGCTCTGGTCTCGCTGCTCCCCCGAGCCGGCTACGGGAGGAGGGACGGGGGGGGGGGGCGGTGGGGGTCTCACCTCCACGGGCAGCGCGGTCCCTCGGCCTTCACCGGGCCCTGCCCACTCACGGGGAGCGGTACCGCTCGCGTGGGCCCGTCTGCCCCGCCCGCGGGCTGCCCCACGGCCCGGCCCTGCGGGCTGCGTGGGACAGGGGCTCCTCCCCTCCCTCCCTCGGGAAAACCCGAGCCGCGGCCCTGTCTCATTCCCCGGGGGAACACGCCGCCACAGCCCCACGTGAAAGAGACACTTCCCCACGAGTGTGAGCGTCAGAAACCCTTCCACGCCTACAACTAGCCCTCGGGCTAGGAAGCCGCGTCCCCTCGCCTGGCACGCTGAACCCTGACGCCAGGTTTGTGCCGCGGCCCCACGGAAGGAGGGCGCAAGGAAAGTGTCACCCGCCGTCGCCACCCTGCCCGCACCCAGCTGGCAAAGGGGAAGAAAAGGAGTTTCCACGCCGCGGCCGCCCCCGCTGCCTCTGTCTTCTGAAGAAAAAGCGGCCGCTGGTGGTTTTTTTGTGCCACATCCCGCTCTCGACGTGTGCGCGGGATGTGCCCGGAGAGCACCTGCTGGCTGCACCCCTGGGGAGGCTGCAGGGGGAAGCCGGCTGCTGGCACTGCCGTGAGCTAAATCCAATACACTTTCCCACTCTAAATACAGAATTTAGTAGTAAGGAGTGCACTTCCGAGTGGTTCCAGCCGAAGGCAGAGCTCTATCTGTGAATTTACCCCACGTGCCATTTTTTAAAGCTTAGCCATGGAAGCCAACTGGAAATTAAGCCAGCTATTTGGGAGTTTAGTCCAAGTCTAACCTGAAAAATATAGTTGAAATTGCATTATTAGACACCTTTTCAACGCTGGCTTTTTTGTGCAATCAAATTTGGTTGCATAGTAGGAAACGTAATTTTTACGAATTTTCTACAAATTTCTGTGGCTAATTAGAATTTCCTTACTCCTGTTTGTAAACCAAAAGCATACCTCATATTTCCTCCTCCTACTTGGGTTTAAGGACGGAGCCAAACAGAAATGCGAACCAAGACACTCTCAGCAAACCCTGGCCATTAGTACTTGGATGCCAACGGGGGCAGGTGCTGCTCTCGCTTGCTGCGCAGACACCCGGCTCCGGGGAGCTGATCCGAAGGGCTCCGAGAGATCAGCGTGTATTCTTGGCAGCAGATTTCAGAAGTGTCTAGAAACCCTTCCCCTGGGTGCTTAGCACCCATCTCCAAAGCGATGCGTGCACGTAAAAATCAGCGCTGCAGCGGTGACATCGACTGTGTGAGTTGGAGCGTGAGTTGGAGTGAGCAGGGCCGAGCAGGGACCAACAGCACCAACAAGAAACTAATAGTGACATAGTTCTGGATCTCCCAACACTTTCTGCAATCCAACAGAAATAATAAAATTTAAATCATGTTCAGTCTCCACATTTTCTTAACATTTGACCCCTTAGTGAGCTGTATCTGACTCCTACTATATGAGAAAAATAAACTGGTTTGGTGGGAAGAACAGAGACTGAAATGAAAATCTATAAATCTTCACACTGCCATTGGGAAGGTAAGACTAAAAACTCATCGCATGATACCTGGGATTAAAATATAGATACTATAGGACTCCAAGGCACCTTATATGTGAGTAAAATTCCCATATATGTCAGTATACATATTCTACTGCCTCCTCAAGAAAAGTTGTCCCTCCAAAAAACCAAACAATTTAACAGTTTGATTTTATTTGGCTCTTAAAACAGCTTTTCATAAAAAACCAACATATAAGTCATGGAGACTCGGGGTCTGGTTACCCCACCCTCTGCCTAAACCAGGACAGACCAGTGACAGGGGACTGTGGTGTCCGGGCGCCCTGAGTGCGCCTTTGCCAGCGCAACCAGGGATTTTAATCTCTTCAGAGAGGATGGGAGAGAAGGTTGGAAAAAGCAAACATTTTCCCTTGTGGTTTGGAGAAGAATAATTTCCATCACGGCAGGAGGATTTGTGGGAGGCTTAGATACTCTATGAGTGAACTAATACATATTTTAACAGAATAAAGGTCTTGAGCTGGGGCAGCTTTTCTGGAGCCACAGATGCAGCTGAGACAAGAACCGGGGCAGGCTGTCTACCCATCCCTCCCGGAGAGCTTGACTTTCTGAGGTTTTCCTTCCCGATCTTTACCATCCAGTGGTGCTCTCTCAAGACACCGTTAAGCAACTGGTCCTGTGGTCCCCTGGCAGAGGGTCCGTACGCCTCGGTGCCAGGGTGGGTGCCACAGTGCAGGCGTGGCACATGCACAGCAAGCCAGGAGGAAGGAATTTAGGCTTTATTGTCAGCTGGCCGGAGACTTGCACACCGCAGGCAGAGGCATCAGGTATTCCCCTGGCAGCTCCCCGCTTTTACTGTAAATAGATGATTCATTTGTCTGCTTTGGCAACAGACTTAGATCACCAAGGAAACACTCGCAAGCTGTCACAAAAGTTAGACTGCAAAATCAGGTCAAGAGAAATGATGAATGAATGAATACGTGCATTATGGGCTCAAGCTCCCTGTTCTGTATCACAGATTTTCTGCAGAATTCTTTGCTTTTCCTGTAGTGTGTGGTCCGGGGGGTAATATTCAGCCAGAAAAAATGTTTTAGGTATATGTCTAATGATGTAATCGAGCATGTCACATGGAGCTTCCATGTCTTTTCTATGGATATGGTGATCTGGAACGCTTTCTGTTGTCACCGAAAGAAATTGCGATACTTTAGCAATAAGAAAACAAGAGCAGAACACATCTATAGCCATCTCATTATACTCACAAGAAGACAGGGGCTCAACTTGCTAACACACTTGCTGTATTGTGATATAAATCAAGGGATAATCATATAAAATGCATTAAATAATTCAGAAGCTTTGCTAGGATACCACAGTTTTGATGAAACTTTATCCTTACTTGTGTATTCTACTCTGAAAGTCAAAGTAATTGTCTGGTGAAAAAAATTCTGCTACTTCAACTGCTCAGAAGGTGTCAAGGTACTGGCATGGCAACAACTTCCCAAATAAACGGCTGCAGCAGGCGCGGGGACAGCCCATGCGCTACCAGCTGCTGCCAGGCGCGAGCACACCCTGCCTCGGCCAAATATTCCCCAGGGCCTTGGCAAAACTTGAATGGCTTTGATATAGGTGAGGCATATAGCGTCTCCTGTGTGCCCAGCCCACCTCCCGACTGCTTCCAACACATGCAGGAGGAACTGACATTTGTCAAGTCTTTTTTTTTTTTTTTTTTTTTTTTATTAAAATCTTCACAAACTTCTCATTTCATTAATGCCATCTGGGCTGAATTCCATAAAGTTGTCATTATTTAATTGTGAGGGCTGGGATCTTCGCAGCGATAGCTAGGGGACTGGCATGGAGTACTTACTGTGAACATCAACCTCTGGCAGTTTAAACACTTCTGCTTGGGAAACAGAGCTTTTAATTTTTAATTGCCTAGCAGGCAGCTGGAAAGTACAACCCTCACCTCCTCAAAATGAAAAGAGAAAGAGAGTATCACATGCAACCTGAGTGGAATTAAAGAAAATAGGGAGTACAGAGAGTACATGAATGGCCTAAAATGCAAGGTGGTCAAAATGTTAATGAAACCCTTACCGACCAAACAACAAAGCAACTCCCTTGACGACCCGTCAGTCACGATGTAACGTTGCCAGTCCTTGCACACCAGAGGAGCAGTCGCTAAATAAAAAAGCAGTTAGAAGCCGCAGCTTGGCAAGAGGACAAAGCAGCCATCTTCAAACAAGCGGTGCAATCAGCTTAATGAAGACATAATTCTTGATCAGCTGTCATCGGTATTCCTCAGGTAATCCTGACTACGGGGGGAGGGAGTGCAAAGGCAGAAGCGAGGGCCGGCTTAGCCAAAGGGATTCCCCCATTTGCGGCTGCAGCAGGGAGCGCTGGCCCCGGGAACGCAGCGGGGACGGCCACGAGAGCTCCTGCCCTCCCAGGGACGAGAGCACCCATTCCCGCCTGCAAGCGGTGGCATGCTGCCCCCAGGAGAGGGGCTCCCCCACACCCCGGGGCTGCGGGGTGGGCTCCCACCACTGGGAATTAGGCGTGCTTCCCACCAGCACCACAGCACTTCCACCCACCAGGTCACCCGGTCACCCCGTCCCCATGTCACCCCGGCACCTCGCTGCTCCTGGCTCTGCCCCGGCTTCCACAACCCCGAGCAGAGCTGGGGAAACGGAAACCCAGAAGTAACCCCGCTGCAGGGGAGCCTTCACTGGGGGCACTGGGGCAGCTCGAACCCCAGTTGGGGTTCCCTCGCTGGCCCTGACCCATGAGCTTGCCTTCCCTGCCAGCATCGGCACTCACCGAGCCCCCAGCCCTGCTCAGCAGCAGTCTGAAATTTGGGTCTCTTCTTCTCACAAAGCCTGGGAGATGTTAGCATCTCCGGGACCTCACCTCCTTGCTTGAACACGGCCGAGGTGACCCACGAGCTTCCCGTGCTGCCAGCAAAGCTG